GGTTGCGATCCGTTGCCGGTCACGAAAAAAGACAAAAAAAAGGAAAAAAAAAAAAAAAAACCTTCTAGAAATTGAAAAGTCCACCCAGATTAATTACGTGTTAAAAAGAAACTCAAACTTTAAATTCTATACTATCCAGGAACCATGAAAACGAGAATCCTTTCTATGGAAAATAATGTGAGACAGCAAAACCTGTGCTATAAGAAAAATGCATATCTTAAATGCCTCCAGTGTAGATCAAACAGACAAAAATTAAAGGAACTTAATATTAAAGTAAGAAAGTTAGAATCTAACTACAGAAATAACACCTATTGATAGAACTAACTATTGCAACTTATTTGGTAAAGAAATTTTATGAAGAAAAACGTAATCTATAAAGCAATCACTATAAATAGCAGCATTATCACTATTAACATATTTTTGAATTTCCATCCCTCTTTTCTCTGAATATAATTTTTTCTTTTATTAAATTAAGGTTATACTATATGTATAATTTTGTATCTGGCTTTTCAAAATTTAGTATACTATTGTGAAGATTTTATTATATCAACAAAATTTCAAAACATTACTTCAAATGTATTTGTGTCATTCCAATGTATGCTCATGATCTTTTCTTTTTTTCTTTATATTTGTTTGCTATTATAAACAAAGCTACAATAATTATATCTATAGATGGCTCTGTCAGATTTTTTTCTAGCATCAAAACCGGGTAAAATTATATTGCATATTTTTTGTCATTTTGACACATATTGTTATTTTCCATAAAATGGATATTTTTTCAAAAAGCATTTTGTTTTAAACTGAGCCCTTTTTAAATATTTTATATGATATCTATAGATTTGTAGAAAAAATTACTAGTGGCAACATACTATGAGAAAGATAACATCTGAAAAAAACGTGATTAGGCAGAAGCTTGTTCCTAATTGTGCTGTTAAATGTTGATGTACTATTGTTTAAAAATTCCTTTAGATGATACAGAAATGCGTTTTCACTCTTACTTAGTATCAGGCACATCCTTTTTCAAACTCCCTTTTATTCTTGTAACTATGCATCATCATCTGTGACACAATACTTTAAAAGGATGGATGCAGTCCCATTCTATGCTTATCGAATTTAAGTGAACGTTTTGTTTTGTTTTCTAACATTCACCAACAATTTAATATGCTGTATGTGGCAAATTATTTTAATAAAATAAACACAACCAGAAGTGAATAAATGCACCTGCACAACATATTTCAGAGTATTCCAGTTTTATATATAAGGTCATTTTAGTAAGATGTGTTCATCAATAGATGCCTGTTGAATTTCAAATGACATATAATATGACTAGCAGTGGGACATACCTCACGAGGTGGTTGTGATGATTAAACAGGGAAATCCATGTAAGTCATTTAGCCTGGAGAATTCACTTCTATTTGACATTATTAGAGGAAGAGTTATGTTTTGAGGTGTTGATAAAGGCCTGGATGTGGAATGCATAAACAGCTTTCAATAAACTTACAGTGTACTTGGAAATAAGCTTTGCTTTAACACTTGAAAGTATTAAACCCATGACCTCAGAAGCAGATTCCTGTTGTATCAAGGTGTTGTTATAGCATATCTTCATCCATTTAATATGACCTGATTGATGTCATGCATCTTCTTTTAGCCCCGTGTGGTGGACATCTGACTGCTTCCAGTGGGGTCATTTTGCCTCCTGGATGGCCAGGGTATTACAAAGATTCTTTAAATTGTGAATGGATAATTGAAGCAAAGCCTGGACACTCTATCAAAATAACTTTTGATAGGTAAGGAAAAATCTTTTTCTTCCTTCATTTGGATTAAAAACTGGTGTCTGCCCTCCTGGATGGCCAGGGTATTACAAAGATTCTTTAAATTGTGAATGGATAATTGAAGCAAAACCTGGACACTCTATCAAAATAACTTTTGATAGGTAAGGAAAAATCTTTTTCTTCCTTCATTTGGATTAAAAACTGGTGTCTGTTCCATGTTTTTAGTAAATGGATCGTAAAACCTAGAAATACATCAATCTTTCATTGGTTCCCCCAAAGCAGCTCACCTAACAAGAAATAGGCACTTATTATAAGTTTTGTTCTTCTCAAATGTTATCCTCTAAACCCACGTAAGCCACAGCTCTGTAGGTCAGCAGGGGAGTGGAGATCCTGGACAACCATTTCCTAGCTCTAACCCTTGAGTCTGCCTTTCGATTTTGGACTGGCAGTGGAATAAATTCTTTGGATTTTGGTGTTTGACTGTACGTGGAAGCAGCTCTGGTCCTTCTGGTCCTTTAAGCTTCTGTAGCAGCACACAGACTTCTCTCCTGTTCTGGTGGCTGCTGTTAGTAACTGGAGGACAACTTGAGGTCATAGACCTGGCAATGGAGTAGAGGCCACAGATTAATAACCTATTAATTGTCTACGGGTGACACTATCACTGGAATGTTGTTTGGCTTAGCCACTTGATAATATATTTGATAATCTAAAAAAATAAGCATGCTATTTGATTTCTGCATGATCAAATATTTTCCAATTTGTTTCAACGTTGCAATTGATTTGATGATTGAAAACTAAAGATGTTTTGGAATGAACTGTATGCTTGAAAATCTATGAAAGCATCACTAATGTTCCAAGCTTTATTTCTGAACAACATTGGGCTTTCTTTATCAATGCCTTTCTTCTTGACTAGATTGCATTCTGGGTTTTAATATCAGAATAGTGTCTCACGATAGATAAATATGATTACATTACTTTCTTTTGGTTTTCCAATAAGTTTCCAATAATCAATCCTAACGTGAACACAGGAAAGGATTTTAGTGGTAGTCGTGTTATCTTTATTAATTATTTTTACTTGAAAATATTATTCATATTATTACTTATTTCTGTTGGATAATAGTAATCTTCAGTAGGATAATCTCTCAGAAGATGAGAAAAATTTTGGTTTATGTATTCACTATATTGGGGAGTGAATTCCTGAAAATAGTATTAGTCATTTGGGGAAAAAATGAATTAACTAGAAATATTCAGAAAATGAAATTTGGTTTTCTATTAACTGTTACACTTTCTGGTATGGGGGGCAGGGAAGGTAGCTGAAGCATACCCTGATTCCTAGTGCATATCAAATTTAAATCAGTTAGTAAAAACAGTGATTTTACATTTTTGTTTGGCAAAGCTTTTTAGTACTCCATTCTCAGTTGTCTGAAGAAAAATACTTGTTTAATTTTTCCATCTGGTCTTTAAATATTATTTCAGTGTGACGTTTTGTTAAATTCTGGGTATAAGTACTTAATATTTTTGATATTTTTAGACATTTGTGACATGTACCCTAGATATAGTACACAACTCTTTAAAGATTAATTACGTAATACAGTGTTAGTTTACACGTTGATCCATGGGCCGATGCCCTCAGAAAGGATGTGTTTGTCCACATAAATTTTAAATTCTGTATTGATTGTATTGTCACACAATAATGACAGAACATTCAGACTTTTCTGTTTCCAAGGCTGTCCTGGAAATTTTCCGGCTGTTAAAATTTGCTCTTTATCAGTCCTAGCTATTACTAAAGAAAGAGGATATGAAAACTTTAGTGCAAATATATCAAATGAGATTCCTTTCATGCTTATCTAGACTTCTTGAATATTAATTCAGATAACTGAGAAGTCGTGGGGTCTTCAGAGAAAGCTTTTGAAGAGTAAAAAACAAAGTACCAACCTGGTTAGCGGTAGGAATATATAGTGATTATGCATTTGCACTAAGAGGACTATACATTTTTTGTTGTTACATGCCGTGAAACTAAGATCACGTCCTCTCTTGCAAGTTTTCCTCGCTCTTCATCAGCAATATCCAGTTCGGAGCATGGGGATAATGACACAGGCTTCCGTGGAATTCTTTGGCTTAAAATGACTCTGTGAGTCAGAGGCTTAAGATGCTTAAGCTGCTCCCTGAGAGCAAAGTCAGGCACTCGGAAACCGGGTTAGCTCTTTGAGGACGAGATGGGCCCATTTAGAAAATTATCTCAGTGCCAGGAATGGTACCTTCATTGCATCAAAGGGTACCCAAGTGGCTGTAACTTTATATAAATTTAATCCTGAGCCAGATTCTCTGGAAGCAGAAGAAAAGTTAAGCACTTTTTGCAAGCTGTTCTAACTTTTTAAAATTATTAGAGTGTCATTTAGTTTCTGAAGTAGCAATATGCTCAGTTATTTTAGTGTCCTAGAAGAGTTAATGGAATTTTAAAAGGCCCGAGATTTTTTTTTTCATGGAAGGTATTCAAAGTATTGTCTTGTGCTTTGAATGATCTTCTTCCTTTAAGACATCACTTCACTCCAGTATACCCATTTTAACAGGTCCATAATCATGTTAAACAGGGAATCGTGAAAATACTTTGAAAATGCAAAATCATTGATTTTTTTTGTTAATTGAGAATTATCTACTTATTTACTTATTTAAATCTATTAAAAAGTTAATAGAGTTTATAGCATTTTTGTTTTAGACCTGAATAATGACCCTCTTTTGCATCTGTGACATTACACAACAAAGTATTAGACAAAAGGGAAGGATTTGAGGGAAAAAAGTACTGTCCTTCTCTATTATATGTCCCCAAATTTTAAAAAATATATATAATTTTAAATATTTTATTTATGTTGATGTACACAGGTGTGAATTAACGGACAAAGACACCATGCATGTGTCTGTAAGCTAATGCAGTTCTGTGTGTTTCTCTGACTTGATACACATGTTTGCAGATTTCAAACAGAAGTCAATTATGACACTCTGGAAGTGAGAGATGGGCCGGCCAGTTCGTCCCCTCTGATCGGAGAGTACCACGGCACGCAAGCCCCTCAGTTCCTGATTAGTACAGGGAACTTCATGTACCTGCTCTTCACCACCGACAACAGCCGCTCCAGTGTTGGCTTTCTCATCCACTACGAAAGTAAGTCGGCCTCTTCACTCACCTTCCAAGGCAGTGCAATTTACGTGACTAAATTTAAGATATATGCTCTTATTTCCAACATGCAGATCACTGTGCTGATTTATCAATCCTATCTGACTCTGACAAAACCATGCCATACAATTGTAACAACTTTCTCTTATGAAGCGTCTTGGGGATGTTTCCTTTAAACTCTCAAAAATACATATTTGTTGCCTATTATAAAGTAAAATAATAAGTTAAAATAATGAAATGGGTTTATTGACTGCAAAAGGTAATAATATATTTCTACTATTAGAAAATATGCCTATTGGCCGAAAGTGTTACAGGACATATCACTAAAATTTTATATCCTGAGCAATGGATATGAGGATTCATTGCTAGGAAAATAGGGTTATGGCAATTTCTAGTACTTAACGTGTTATACAAGTGAACAAGTTTCACTGGGTAGAGAACATGTAATTAAGAGAAGAGAAGGAATTAAAATCCAGCTAAATCTTACTAAATGCCAAATAATTGCTAACAATATTTCAACATTTGTTAAAATAAAATAGAATGTAGTTTGCAAGACAGTCCAAACTTTAAATATTCCTTCCCTTTATTATTATTATTATTTTTAAAATTTGTTTCTTAGTTTTAGCTTCTGGAATTGTGAGAAAAATATTATTATTTTATAATATCTTTATTAAATTATTTTCTACTAATATTTGTGCAAGTATACTTCTGGAATCTGGCTAAGGGGGATTCCCTCTGGCAATGCATCTTTAATGCTAGACAGTTAAACACAAAACAAGACAAAGCAACTATTATTATTATTTCTTTTTGAAAATGCTTCACTCAAAGAACAGAACGAAAGAAGGGAAAATGAGCAGAGGTCACTATTGGACCTGAGGAATTAAACCTTTATTTTGCAGGATTTTTATGATTGTTCTTTTTCAGAACCTTATCCTAAAATAAACAAAATTCATTTTAACGTGATTGTAAAAACATTTTTACATGTCCACACATATGATTTTACAAATGGAGGAATGGGATCTACTCTAACATGCCGGATTGTAAATCTTTTTTCTTTTTCTCTTTCTCGCCTTCCTTTTTCCCCATCACCTCCTGACGCTCATGCTCTGTTTTGCATACTTACATAATTATATAATCATGTAATTATATGCATATGCACATGAAAGATTATGTGCACTTTTTGATAAAAAATAAAATTATAGTCGTGTTAGAATGGCAAGAAAATTATTAAGGAGTTAAAGATTAATTTAAAATTTAATTCAAAGTTGCTAGTTATGCTTCATACATATATACAACATTTTTTTAAAGTAGCATTTTTTTAAAACCTGAAGTAAAATTTAAGAACCAGAAAATTTCATATTATGTTCCTTTGTATTGTCCCTTTAAGTTACCACTTTTCTTTTCAGTAATATATGTATACATTTCAATTATCTGAACTTAAAAATCTCCCTTGCCTCTCCACCCCGCTATGCACTTCTTTAGACCAAAATTACTTGTCCCTTAGACATTTAGTGCATGAAACTAAGGGGAATAAATATTTTCGGACATTGGTAAATACTAAAACAGAGTTTTCATTTCTTCTCTTCTCTCCCTGTTTGTTTAACCATAGATTATTTTGCCTATTTCCAGACCTTTTGAGGAAATGTATACCAAAGGCCATAAGCAGGCAGTAGAAATTAATTTTATTTGGTCATCTAACTAATTTAAATAAATGAGTTGTTCTTATTTTTTCTTACTGGAAAATCAAAGAGTAATAGAACGTCTGTTCATGAGAGCCTATTTAGCTTGTCATCCTCACTAATATAATAGCAAAATAACATAATATAAAAATTAAATATGCAGATAGTTTTAACAATAACCTCTATAACCTTAAAAGAATCACTAGATTATGTGTTGGTGTTTTTTTTATTTATCCCGTGCTTAAAAGCATTGCGTAGCCTTAGTGAGGCATGCCTTCAAAACTGGGAGTGACCCCCAGAGAGCAATGGTCTTTGCTATTTTTTTTCTTTGCATCAGTAAAAAGAATAAAACAGTCATCAAGATGATGCATTTGTACTACAGTGATAATCATTTGAGTGTCATAAATTTCTGATCCCTTAAGAAATCTAAGGAGAAGGAATTCCTTCTCCTTCCGACTTAAAAAAAGCAGGAAGATAGCTCTGTAGCCACAGAGGAGGGCAGAGGCCTCACCTGGCAGGTGAAGATAGATAGGAAAGATTCTTCATGTATCAAACTTTTTAGTGCTCAGTTTTAGAAGGGATTGTAGAGATACAATAAGACTTTCATCTTGTGACTTTCTAGTGATCCTTCCAGAAGGCTCCAGTCTTTGTATATTCCTCTGGCTTAAAACTTTGACACTACATTGAAAAAATATTTTCTTGGAAGGATGTCACGCTGAACTTTAATTTATTATCATCTCTTATGTATTTGTCAATCATTATGTATTTGAAGAGAAACAAGGAAATGAACAGAAACAAATGAGACACAGGACATGGCATTTTTATAAGAAAATTAATCAGGAAAGGCCTGGGATTGCTAAAACAGTTTTATCAGCTGGTGTTGCACCTAATGGTTACCTGCAGGGCTTTAAAGTGAAACATGCTCGAGGGCCAGCTCAGACAGTCCCGTTTGCTATTTCTGTGGGTGTTATAGAGGCCTAAGTACCTTCAGAGAGCTCCGTAACTGATTCAGATGGCCATCCCTAGTTAGAAGGCGTGCTGAAGGAGCTGTTTTTCTCAAATGTTACTGTGCACTAACACACCTCTGGAGATCTAGCAAATTGTAGAGTCCTGAGATCAAATTTCAGATATTGTGATTCAGTAAGCCTGCAGTGAAGGCCAGAATTCTGGATTTTTCATCAAGTCCTCAAAGCAGTTTTGAATGAGGTGGAGTACAGATGCCAGCGGTGTGCCTGCATCAGCCGGGGCAGGCCATGACCTGCAGACCTGACCACGAGCTCCAGAGACAGAACTTTCAGGCAGGAGGGAGGGAAGGGCCAGGGGAAACAAACGAGAGAGAAAAGGAACGAAAGAGGGAAACAGAGGGAGCGAGAAAGGGAGACACGAGCCTGGGAAAGAGCAGCACAACCACCCCTTTATAACTGTGAACACGTCTCGTGCTCTTTGAGGAAATGTTTTCTGAAGCCAGTATGTAGGTGCTAGAAGATGATTACATCTGCTCATCCCACATGCTCTTGAGAAATGGGTTGCCTGTGACCCAAGACTGATTTATGTCAAATTCTTTACACCATTTTAAAAATAATAATCCTGCTCATCTCTCTTTTGTTTTTAATCATAAATGGTTGACATTATAAACCTTACTTGCTTTACAAAATTATTAATGACCCTTCTTCATGCCCAAAGAGACCCATGCCATTCTGTTCTACAGACATAAAGCATGGCAGAAATTATAGCCCTTTGAGCTCAAGGTTGACTTATTTTTGCATTGGTGCCATCTGACAGCGTGAGCCACTCTAAACAGCATTCACTTCAGAAGCTCTTCTGAAATGTATGGCTGAAGGGTTGAAGCTATTTTTTCAAGGTTTTACTAAAATCATACCTAGAATTGTATTTCTGTTTTGTGCAGAGTCCTGTGAATCATCACTTTCAGAAATAAAGTGTCTGACAACAGCGTTGACATGGCTTTGTTCTTGATTAAGAGTGTGGCACAGTTTCCTTATGTAATAGTAATTGCATTACCCTTCAGAGTAATCATTTGCTTTGTCTGTTAGTTGATCTTTGAATCATCACTTTTAAATAGCCACAACTGGATGGGGAACTGCAAGATAAATAGAATTCTCAAGTGTGTACCGGTTCTTTTCATTTAATTTTAGAGCATTTCTTGGAAATATTTTCAGAAGTATCTTTTTAATAATATTTGAAGAAAGAAGAAAATTCACCACATGCAAATTTACATATCCTACTATGCAAATCATACATTTTGTTATTTTTTAAAAACTCGTGATAGCTGAAGGAGTATGTTTTGTGGGGTCTTTGTGTGAGCACATATGAACAGATTAGTTTTCTGACATTCAGTGGCCTTTTTTATAATCTTTTACTGGTCAAGATGTAAAGATAATAGATGCAATGCAATCAGATATAACCCACACACATGCACGCACATGCTAACACGTGCTAACACATGTGTATACACATGAGAGAGAAAGAGAGAGAGGAAAGAAAGAGGCAGGTGCTTAGGTTTGATCTCAGTAAATAACATGAGCAATTTGCTTAATTTCTTGGCTCGTTTCTTCATCCATAATATGGAGCTTGTAAATGTCTATTTCCAAACGGTTAGGAGGCTGTGAAACATGACAACTCTAAAGCTTGGCATAGAAAAAACTGTCAGTGCATATTCCTTCCTTCCTTGGACTAGAGCATTCATGAAGACTGATAGCTTAGACAGAAGCCTGCTTATATCAAATGTACATTAGTACAAGCTGCACATGGGTTGTTTTTAAAGTAATCAACTTCCATTATTCACTGAATAGCAAATTTATTCAGTCACTTATCTTACAAAGGCCAAATGAAAAGAAGTATATTTGTATCATTTGTATAAAAAGTTTATAGTTGCTTTAAGTTTCAAGTAAGAAACAGTTGGAACAGAATCTGAATGTAATCATGGTTTCAATAAAATCCATTGATCCATGTTTTTCTTTGAATTGTCAGGACTAGGCAGGAGGGGAAAGAAAATGATCTAAAAAAGACTCAGAAAGACATGGTTGTACCTTTCAAAGTAAATTGGCTACCTGTCCTCATGGACTTTTATTATAAGGGTCTTGTCCCGTTGGAGGGATGTTACCTACTTTGAAATTCCAAGTGTTCTTTCTCACTGTCATCTTGTTTCAGAATTTCTATACCTGGCCTGTTTCAGGTGAATCGATAATCAAATATATTATTGTAATTCTACCACTCAACATCTCTCTCCTCATGCATTCTCCAGTCAAACAATTTGTAATACTGAGGAGCACAATGTCTGCACATTTCACACTCTATGTTGGTGCCCATTACTTTTTAAAAACAAATGAATATGTTATGAGATAATGATACTAAACATCAATTATTACTTTAACAGTGTATCCAGTTTTATACTTAAAGAATTCTAAATTTAATGTTCTGTGCTTTGGTCTCTTCTGATATTTTTCTCTTTTTATTACTACAGATTTTGTGGGGGGAAAGTTTTTATTTCAATTTGTAAATTTTATTATAAATGCCATTCATTAGTTCATTATTCGTACATTGTCTAAAATAGTCATTCCTGTGATTGTTGTTCTCTGCAGTACAGTGACTACTACATGAGTGCTGTTTAGTGATCATAGAAAGCCTTTTAAAGAAATGTAATGATTTAGTTAACAGGTTTTTTGAGAAAACTGGAGACTAATCCATTTCTTCAGAAGAGCTCCTCCTTCTGAGGGAATTCGTGTCTTGATCTGGACACTACACAACCATCCAGCCAGCATTGTGCACCCACTGTGTACAGGACAAATGGAACATATATGCATATAATCTGTTGCATGTCATGAAAGGTGCCATAAACACTGTCTTAGAAAATCTGTGTGTGTGTGTGTGTGTGTGTGTGTAAGGGCAAATGTGCATAAAGACAGGGAGGAGCAGGGTAGGTGATGGATTTTAAGCCATTGCTGCCAGCAGAATGGAGCCTTATGCAAAGATGAGAGGAGTGGATGTCCTTGCTGCCATGCTTTGCAAAGACCATGACAGTTACATCCTGTTGTTTAGGGCAACAGGCATGTGTTGGTTTTTAGGGAATTAGTTAGAATGATTATTTAAGAAAAAAATCCTGGAAAAAATAATGCTATATTTATTTTACTTTGCTACTTTTTTTCTTCATTGTATGTTTTACCTCCCATTGGAATACTTCACTATAATAGCCTTTATTTATTTATTTTTTTAACCCAGCGTTAACCAATTGTAAGGTTAAGGGCACAGTCCTGCAATGTGCAAAGTCTGCACATTCTTCCAATTCTGAAAACTGCAGGTTTAGGGAGTTCCCAAAACCACACTCAAGTTTGATAACTTGCTAGAAGGAGTCAAAGAACTTGCTGAAAGCTGTGATACTCACAGTCATATTTACTACAGGGAAAGGACATAAATTAACACCAGGCAAAGGGAGAGAACATAGGGTGGAACTCAGGAGGGGGTTGGAACTCAGAGCATGCATCTCCCTCTCTCCATGGAGTCATGGATGACGTTCCCTTCTCCCAGCCATGGTGGGTGGCAGTACAAGAAGCTCCCCTGAGCTTGGTGTCCAGAGTTTTTTGGGGGGTTTCATTACATAGGCATGATTGATTGAATTATTACCCACATGGTAGAACTCGATCTCCAGCTGCCCCCTCCCTGTAGCTTAGACTGAAATCATGTTTCTTGAGGGGCCCACCATGAATAATAAAGACACTCCTAATGCTTAGAAAGTTTCAGGGGTTTAGAGGTTAACTCCCAGGGGCTACATCTCTGTGGAGACCATATTCTTTACTACACAGTTTTGAATAGTAGCTTAGCTGTCCTATATGTGTTCCTGTGCCTATTGCATAATATCATACTATTCTAATAAAAAGATTATCACTTATTATTTATTATTTAAAGATTATCCCCTAAATTATATTTCATATATGAATATTTGACTTAATGAGGGAAGGTATATTCATAAGTTACCTCAGTCAAACTTTGGTAAGTTACATGTAATGATCAGAAATAATATCCCAAAGATCACTTTTGAGGACCAAGTCTGAATACTGGAAATATGTTAAGATTTGTTACTAGTTGTTCAGATTATAATTCTAATGTTCTGAGCATTACTGAGATAGTGATATGTAGCAACAGCAAAGAGTTCTTTATTTCTTTGCATATGCAAACATTTCAATGTAATTCTCTTCCTGTATCCTCATTTTTCCTTATATTTTAAAATATATATTATTCTAGAAAGAGAGAGAAATGTGAAAGACAGAAAAAATAAACTCTTCTAGTGACATGATCATAATTACGTAACTTTATACAGCACTTTATTTTTTCACATCTTTTAGTGTAGGCTAATTGTAGCCATCTCAAAAGTGGCTGACTTAAGAGCAAATTTGAAAATTGCAGGAACTTAAGGAATGCAATTTTAGAAAATCAACTTTAGTGTAGTTTTACATTGCATTTATGTGTATGTGCTTGACTGTATGTATGCATATATATGAAAGTTAAAGTATCACTGCCAAAATATAACTGGAACATAAAATATAAAAAGGAAGGAGAAAGGGGAAGAGATGGAGATAGAAATAGCAAAAACTTAGACTTCAGTTAATGTAGTTCATTGATTTTCTGGTAAAGAAAAGTAAAATTCAGGGAGGTCAAAGAACTCTTCAGGGTTGTACTATTTAGATATCCTCTGTTAAGTAGTGTGAAAATATGAATCTAATTTGGAAAGTAGGATCAAATATTTTGAAGATGTGTTGGTTTTTACATTAATAAACTGTTGGATTTGCTTGCATAATTTTCTAGGTCTGATTATGTCTGGGGATATTTTACAGCATATAGTATGAATTTTTTTTTTCAATAAACCAGAAAGGCCCACATATAATGTACTTTCTCTGGGCATCTAGGTGTGACTCTCGAGTCAGACTCTTGCCTTGACCCAGGCATCCCTGTGAATGGTCATCGGCATGGTAGTAACTTTGGCATCAGATCTACGGTGACGTTCAGCTGTGACCCGGGATATACACTGAGTGATGATGAACCACTTATCTGTGAGAGGAACCATCAGTGGAACCATGCATTGCCCAGCTGCGACGGTAGGTAGAGCTCAAACAGTACGCTATCATAAGTGCAGAGAGTGCAAATATCCGTAAAGTTTGGGTGGTATGTGTATTTTATCAGGTGTTATACTATAACAAGTGTGATTTCTCTTTGGAAAGTGTACACCTTAAAAATATCTTTGCTGTTTGACACTTGAAGTTTACCTACCAAATTTTCTCTACTGGGTAGAACAACTGTATGGAAATAAGGAAAGAAAAATTATGGTCTGTCCTTTAACTTTATCTCCAGTCAAACTTATAGAGTTGTTATACACATATTTTTTACATATGGCACTGATTGAAGGTAGCATATGGTCCAACATAGTCAGTATACATATTCTAGATTGTCAGATCTGATTTTCCCCTGATCCAGGTCCACACGTCAAGCAACTTCCCTAGGTCTGCACAGCATGTCCTGGTTCCCTCTGACTCTTACCCTCCAGCACAGCACTCCTCCTAGGATCACGAGCTCTCAGGAAATCATCAGTGGCTCTTTGTGATATCAGCCCCTCCCCTTGCCCTACGCAGATCTGCTCTTGGAAATCTCAGAAACAAATAACATTCTTGCTTATTATGTGTTACTGTATTACTCAAATTTATACCATGTCGTATATAGTTATAATAAAATGATAAATATTTAATTTTTGATCATTCACAAAACTTTAGGCATTTTTGCCTTTGGCCATGAATATAACCCCATTATAACGTTATTTATATGGGAAGACAAATATATATTTTGTATATTAAGTAATGTATAAAATTAAGTGATTATATATATATATATATATATCATTTCCATTTTCAGTACTTTTTATAGATGATAGGTGTTTCTTTTCAAAGATGTCGTATGCATTCATTAAGCACCTTGACTTCTTTAAGATGATGCACCCAAAATAACAGGGATTATAATACCATTATGCTAAGCTTCAGACCACTTAAAATCTTTCATGTTTATCACCAAAGGATATAATTGTTACCTTAGGACAGAACTTGGAAAGGGCAGGTGGATGGCACAGAGTGGCTGATGGCAATCTCGGGAAGTATGAAAATTACACAAACCAGTTGAATGAGGCATGCCTGGCTCTAAGCAGTAGGAGATGAGGGATGAGTTCTATACCTGTAGGGCCACCTCAAAGACAGGTACAGAAGGAGGTGCCACCTGACATGACCACTAGCCATGCGAGGCAGGGGAGCCCCCAGGGTACACGACTTTTGCTTTTCTTGATAGAGATCTGAAAGAGCTCCTTTTATGTGCAGAAGACAAGCTGGGGAACTTTTCTTTTTCTTCTGTAGGACATAATTCTAATCTATCAGCTCCATTTGCCTAGGAAAAATGTTGTAAGCGCCAGCATAATTTTCACATTAACAGCATTTTTCTATTTATTGATGTTAAATGAGCTATCAGATAATACCGTGGCAGGACAGGCTGTAGAAATGTATAGGATTACCATAATGTACGTTCCTAATTTCCTTTACATTTGTTGACAATCATAGTAAGTGGCAGAAATTACCCAGTGCCTTGTTTCTCATATATGAACCTGTAACATGGACTATGGGTTTCCATTTTCCCCACACAAGGAACTATCTTGTGAACAGCAGTTATGCCTAAATTTTTCTGGAAAAATGTGTCTCTTCATTTTTTTTGGGGGGGGGGTATTTTGTTTTGTTTTTACATTAGACTTTAAATAAACTCTAAAATAATGTCATCTTCATAAATATATAGAGAACCATAATATAAATGAATTAACCTGTAGAAAACATAATAATTAATAGTAAACTGCTATAGAAAGTCCTGTGAAAGTCAAGAACAGGATAAACTCCTCAGTATCAGAATTATTATTTAACATTGTTCAGAAGATTCTAACAAATGCAATAATTTAAGAAAATGGTATGGATTATAAATATTAGAAAGAAAAGATAGTCAACTTTTACCTATAGTAAGTGTTTGATAGGTGACTGCACTGAGGATAAACTTAAGTCAATAGATTTCCACGTAGGACATAAATGAGTAGAAATGTAACATAAATATATAGGCAATAAAATCTAAAAACTAGCCAAGAATATATCTAACTAGAAATGTAAAGACTTGCATTAAAAAAAAATCACAGAAGTTTACAATAGAATACAAGAGAATCCCTTAATAAATAGTAATACATACTATGTTTCTAGGTGGGAAGAATAAAATTTAAGTTTACAAATTTTCTACAAATAAAGTTTTAAATTACATGAAATCTAATTAGAATTAATAGCAATTTTAAGAGAAATTTACAAACATTTAAAAATTAATCTAATATAGTAAATACTCCTAGTAGATAAGAAGTATTTTTTTTTTTTAAGAATAACAAGGAAGGACTATTCCATGTGGTGTTGAAGCATATGGAAAATTAATGGTAAATACAATAATATGGCATCAATACATAAATACAAAATACATTAGTGATATAGCATTGAAATTCTAGTAACAGATCTCTGTCTGCATAGGAACTTATTTTATGATAAAAATATTTCAAACCAGTGAGGAAGGATGTCCTATTAATAAACAGTGTTGGTCAAACTGGATATCTGATTAGATTTTAAAATGTTGAAAATGTAAAAAAAAGAAATTATACATTGATTAAAGATATAAACAAAGATTCAAAACTTAAAATTGTAGTGGGAAAATATGAGATAATAGTTAAGACAACCATCTTTGGAAATACATATTTATATCTTCATATGCATTTACTTATTTTTACAAATGTAAGCATATAGCTCAGTGAACTTTCCATAGTAAACTTCTCCACGCACATCAATAAATGAAACTTAATAGGTCCCCACTAGTCCCTTTCATACCCTCTGTCAGTCACAGCCCCCCCTCCCGATGCTACCACTGTCTCAGTTTTCCAGCACTGCAAGTTAGGCACATGAGTGAAATCATACAGAACATGTGCTTTGTGTTACGCATCTTTCACTGCACCTTGTGTTTGTGAGGTGCATTCATGTCATGGCACTAAGCTGTGTTTCAGTCATTCTCATCGTCTTATCATATTTCATAACTATCCCACAGTTCTTTATTTCATTCTGCTGTTTATGGGCATTTGAGTTGTTTTTGAGCATCTTTTATGTGTTTATTGGCCATTGATTTAGTCTCTTTTGTACAGAACCTGCTTCTGCTTATATTTACATTGGGTCATATGCCTTTCTCCTGCTGAATTGCAGGCATTGCTTATATATTTGGATACAGTTCCTTTGTCGAATCTGTGCATTTTAAATATTTTATCTCACTCTGGAGTTGTATTTCTCCTTTTCTTAGTAGTGTCTCTTTGATGAATAGAAGGCTTTAATTTTAAAGTAGTTTAATTTTTCAGTGTTTTCATTTGTGAATGTGCTTTACATGTAGTGTTTAAAAAGACTTGCCTGCCCACAAAGTAATGAAGATATTCTACTATTTTCCTCCAAAATCTTAAAAAATTTTAGTAGCATTCTTGAGGCATAATTGAGATGCAGTAACTGCATGGGTTTAATGTGAACAATTTGATATGATTTGAGATAAACTTGTATGTATACATCTACAAAATCATTACCACAATCAAAAACTTGTCCATCATTCCTAAAAGTAAAAACATTTTTTGTCTTTCATATTTGTAATTTCAATTCATCCATAGCTATTTTTGTTATGGGAGGACGTAGTGTCTAGATCCAATTTCTCTCTCATATAGCTATCCAAATGGGCCAGTACCATTTATTAAGATTGCACTTTCTCCACTGTGATGCATTGTCAACTTGGTCATACATGGGTGAACCTTTTTTTTTTTGTCCCTTTCTTTGTTCTTTGAGATATGTTAGCTTTTAAATCTAGAAAAGCCTTGTAAAGAAAACTAGAACCAATAAACAGAAAACATTGACTGGTTTTAGTACATACAAATAAAAGGGTCAAATTATGGAAAATAATTGCACTGTACATGTAATATACGTACATGTCCTACAAATGACGACAGAATAAAAACAATGCAAATAAGCCAATAGACCGCTGAGGAAAACGTATGCATAGGTAACTCAAAGAAGATACTCAAAAGGCCAATAAACATTTGAAAATATGCCCACTCTGAGTAGGAATCAGGAAAATGCAGACAAAGCACAATTACTTTCCTCTCCTGCTACATGTGGAAGAAAGTAAAATGGTAAAAAATATCCTATATCATTGAGGGACTAGGGAGCTGCACGTTCATTATGCACTATCTGTAGGAACATAAAATGATACCATTGCTTTTAAAGGAAAAAAGAGTAAGGCACAGAACAATGCATGGTGTGCACACACACATGTATAATTACACATATACGTAATTACAGATGCACACACCATTATGGAGAAAATGAGTGAAAACAAACATTCTAAAATTGTTTCCTTTTGGGACATAAGTAGACTGTAGGGGAAAGTTTAGAGAAACTTTTAATTTTTAGTTTCCATTTATTCTATTATTTGCATTTTTATTACCATGTCTTATTTTGTAGTTAGAACTCTTTAATAGTAAAAATAAATAAATAAATTTTATCTATATGACTATTAGTGTTAGAAGGATGCTAGCTCCTGGACTAGGAGCTATACAAGTATAGATTATACAAGTATATATAAATAATACACAAACATGCAATATGATCTCCTTCAGTTTGATTTTGGGCTCCTAGGGTACAGGAGTTGAGCAACCACTCATCAAAAATACAACACTTGAGCTGAGATTCCAGCACTGAGTAGAACTGCCCAAAGTAGCCAGCATGGAAAGAGGCATCCTAGGCAGAGGAAATGAGCGAAATCACCAGGAGTTGATGGACATGCAACATTCTGCAAATTCCTGGAGATTAAGAAAAGTGAGATCACAGAAAACAAGTGAAAAGATGCGTAGGGAATGATGTAGGAGAAATGGAGGGAAGTAGACTGAAGAGGGCCTGGGTGCTTTGCAAGTAAGTGAGAAGCTGCAGAGATGACATTTATGTTTGGTGTTTTCCATAGAAAATAAAGG